AACTTTCCATCTTTGGAGAAGGCATTTGTTGTTTAAATAGAAAATCCTGCTGGGTGCTGCTGGCACATACCTGTAATCCCAGCTATTTGAAAGAATTGCAAATTTGAGGCCAGCCTGGGTAATTTAGTAAAATACTGTCTCAAAAAGGGCCAGGGATGCAGCTCAGTTGGGATTACAGGTGTGTGCCACCATGCCCAGCTGAAAAACAATAATCTTTTAAAATGTAATGTAACTATCAGATATTAACATGCAATGGAAATGACTTTGCTATATACACTTCTCACCATATAAAGAATTAAGTAATGAAAAATTAACTTTATGAAAGAAGATATATGGATGTCAAAGCAGTACATGAAAAGATGTTCAATAACATTACTCACTAGGGAGATACCATGACCCACTTGTAAAAATTGCTAAAATACTCAAATGTTGACAAGGAAGTGAAAGGATTGATCTCTCCTACTGTTGGTGGGGATGTAAATTACCAATCACTTAGGAAATCAAGTTAGTAGTTTCTTACAAAAATATATAGCTACTGCATTATCCAGTCATTCCACTCCTACGTTTCTGTCCAAGAGAAATAAAAGCATGTGTCTATTGAAGACTTGTACAAAGTGGCTATTTGTGTAATGGCCAAAGATTAGAAGCAATTAATAGAAACACCTTCTGACCAGCTATAGCACTCCTTGAAAGTCTACATGCTGTAGTGATACATGCATACCCGTGTTTATAGCAGCGCAATTCACAATAGCCAAAATACGGAACCAGCCTAGGTGTTCAGTGGATGAATAGATAAAGAAAATGTAAGTAGATATACACAATGAAATTTTATTGAGCAAAAAGAAGAATGAAATTATGTCATCTGGGGCTGGGGATGTGGCTCAAGCGGTAGTACGCTCGCCTGGCATGCGTGCGGCCCGGGTTCGATCCTCAGCACCACATACAAACAAAGATGTTGTGTCCGCCGAAAACTAAAAAATAAATATTGAAAAATCTCTCTCTCTCTCTTTAAAAAAAAAATTATGTCATCTGTAAGGAAATGGTTGGAAATGGAGAACATTATGTTAAGCGAAATAAGCCAAACTCAGAGAGTCAAGGGTCATGTTTTCATATGTGGAAGCTATAGAGGAAAAACAAAAAGAAAGGTGAGGGACCTCATAAATACCCAAGGAAGAGCAGTAGAATAGAGGAAAGTGTCTCAGGAAGGGAAAGGGAACATACTAGAGAATGATATTGGCCAAATTATATTGTTATATTGTGTGTATATACAAATATGTAACACCAAATTCCACCATTATGTACAACTATAATGTACCAATAAAAAATGGTGGAAAAAAAAAAACTAGATGCAACTTAAATGTCCATTGACAGGTGACTGGATAAACAAACTGTGGTATATCCATACAATGCTACCCGGCAATTCACAACAATGAACTGTTCATACACATGACAACACAGATGAATGTCAAAATAAATTGAGCTGTGGTAAAAGACAAGCAAAAAATGCACACTGCATGACTCCATTTACGTAAAATTTTAGAAAATGCAAACTAATGGATAGTGATAGAAAGATATTGGTTGCCTGGGGATGTATCAGGAAGGCCAAGGACTATAAAGACTAGCTACACCACATGGGAGGAGTGGATAGATATGTTCATTATCTTGATTGTGGCAGTAAGATGTCAACAATTTTTTATTTACTTTTTTTTATTTTTTAAAGAGAGAGAGAGAGGGTTGGGGCTGTGGCTCAGACGTAGAGCACTCGCCTACCATGCGTGAGGCACTGGGTTTGATCCCCAGCATCACATACAAATAAAATAAAGATACTGTGTCCACCTATAACTAAAAAATAAATATATTTTAAAAAAGAGAGAGAGAGAATTTTTTAAATATTTATTTTTAGTTTTCAGTGGACACAACCATCTTTATGTTTTATTTGTATGTGGTGCTGAGGATTGAACCCAGCGCCCCGTGCATGCCAGGCAAGCGCGCTACCGCTTGAGTCACATCCCCAGCCCAACATTTATTGAATTGTACACTTAATGTGAAGTTATATGTCAATTATATTTCAAAAGAGCTATAAAAATTAAAATTAGGGGTTGGGGATATAGCTCAGTTGCTTCCCATGCACAAGGCCCTGGGTTCAATCCCCAGCACCATAAGAAAAAAAAAATTAAAATTAAACCACCAGAAAAATTAGGAAAATGGCCAAATGTAACTATTAAAAAAATCATTGCGTGCTTAAAGTGTTTCTTAAATATTATCATGAAAACAAAATTTCTTTTTTTTTTTTTTTTGGTACTGGGGATTGAACCCAGGGCCTTGCATATTTTCCTCTATCACTGAGCTACATCCTGAACTCTTTTTCATTTTGAGACAGTCTAAGTCATCCTGGCTTTGAACTTGCAATCCTCCTGCCTCTGCTTCCTTAGGAGCTGTGATTACAGGCTTGTGCCACCACATCCAGTGCCACAAAAACAAACATCTTAAAGGAAAATGATAATTGCAGAAAATTGGAAGGCTTTTGTATGGCCAGATTACAAACAAGAATGCAGGGCATAAAATATTAAGAAAAATGTGTGCACCATATGTGACAAAATTTTAGTATCTACTAGATTAAGAGTGAAGGTATTATAGGACACCATGGGGTTGGGGGAGGAGGGAATGGAGCATAGCAAACAGAGAAACTGCCCAATATTTCAATAAGGCAATTCATAAAGAAATAGAAATAGTTTATATAGAGGTGTAAAATTTCACTAAAAATTTTAAAATGCAAACACAAAAACAAACAAAAAATATCCAAAACCAACTTTTCCCCTCAAATCAGCAAAGATTTGAACTATACTAGTCACTGGAATTGTTTACTACATGGGAGGGGCTAATGATTTTGCTTATTTTTAAAAGGTGCTCACTTTCGTCATCCATTCTTATGATATCTTGGTCATCTCCATCTTCAGGTCTCATCCCACGTTCTGGCTTCTGGCTGTCCTAGGATGCTGTAGTTGATTCCATTCTCAGCTTCTTATTAGGTCCTGTGACACTTTCCCTAATCACTGAATGTGTCTCAAAGATCTTTACTTCCTCCTTTCAAGATGCACAGCTGCTGGTAACAACATTATTAGTTTTTCTGGGGGGACACTTTTTTTTTCTTTTTAAACTGGGAATTGAACCAGGGACACTTGACCACTGAGTTACATCACCCCAGCCCCCGCCCCCACCACCTCTGCTTTAAAAAATAATTTTTAGTTGCAGATGGACATAATATCTTTATTTATTTCTATGTGGTGCTGGGGATCGAACCCAGTGCCTCATGCATGCAAAGCAAGTGCTCTACCACTGAGCTACAACCCCAGCCCCCAGCCTTTAAGAAAAAAAAAAAAATTGAGATGGGGCCTGGCGAAATTGCTGAGGCTGGCTTTGAACTTGCAATCCTCCTGCCTCAGCCTCCCAAGACACTGGGATTACAGGTGTGCACCACTGTGTCTGACTGGGTTTCATTTTAAGTGCATACACCTGTAGCATTAAGTCTATCTGCTCTGTTCAACCCTCAACTACTGTTCATCTCCATAAGTTCATTTTCCCTAATACAAACTCTGCCCATTACAAATAATTCCCCATTCTCTTCCCTCTTCCAGCCCCTATCATTATTTTGTTTCTATGAAATTGACAACTCTAGGCACTTCTTTATAAGAATTATAAAATATCGCTGGGCACAGTGGCACATACTCATAATCTCAGTGACTCAAGAGGCTGAAGAAGGAGTACAAGTTTGAGGCCAGCCTCAATGACCTAACAAGGCCCTAAGCCCTGTTTTAAAATAGAAAAAAGGGCTGGGGTTGTAGCTCAGTGGTAAAGTGCCCCTGGGTTCAATCCTAGCAAACTGTGCCCCCCCCAACAAAAAATTATAAAATATTTATCCATTTGTTTGGCTTATCTCACTCGATCCAGGGCCTTCAAGGTTGATCCATGTAGTTTGTCAGAACTTCCTTTTTTAAAATTAATTTTTAGTGATGAACACAACATCTTTACTTTTATGTGGTGCTAATGTTCAAACCCAGTGCCTCACGTGTGCGAGGCAAGTGCTCTACCACTGAGCCACAATCCCAGCCCAGTTTTCCTTCTTTTCTAAGGCTATTATCCTGTTGTAGACACATATTGTTTCACCCATTCATTTGTCAATGAACATTTGGGTTGGTTCCTAAAGGAACCACTATTAATATTACCAGTATCTGTTTTGAGACCTTGCTTTCAATTCTTGAGTATATACTCAGAGATGGAATTGCTGGTCATCCTTGCTAACACTTTTTGGTTTTGCCATCTGGAAAAATGATCAAGTCCTTTGCTATTTCTCTTGTTCTTTATAAATTTAGAATTTGCCAGATGATTTGTACATATTTTCTCCCATTCTGCAGGTTGCCTTTTCACTGTTTTTAAATATATATACACACACACACGTTTATGTGTGTATGTATATATTTTTTGTTGCTCATGATTTTATCATATTCAAATTCAGTTATAAAAGCTCTTCCTGTTTTCCTGAGTTCTACAATTTTTGTCCTTTTAAATTTTTGTATATGGTGTTAGGAATCCAACTCTATTCTTTTGCATATGAACATCATTTTTCTTAATACCACTTGTTGAAGACTGTCCTTTCCCCACTGATGACTTGGCACTCATTTGAAAATAATTTAGCCAAACATGTGGTGGTTTATTTCTGAGCTATTCTTTTCCATTGATCAGTCTTTATGGTAGTAACAACTGTTTTGATTATTGTAGCTTTTAGTATCAGGTTTCCCTTCTATTTTTTAAGATATACACTTAGTCAAATTGATTTCTTGAACCTCTCTTCAATATTTAATGAAGAGATCAGTACTTTGTAGTTCCCAACATTAGCAATGGCCCATGGACAGTTGTGCCATCAGGGACAGGGGAAGGGGCCACAGGCAGGTAAGGCACCTGCTGCGTGTCTGTTTCCTTTAGAAAAGAAAAGGCACAGTCCGTAGAGTAAAACTGTATGCCTTTATTCAACATGAGTCATTAAAATAAAATACAGGTTGTCCATGTGCAGAAACATTGTTATACATTCAACTCTGAAGAAGGTAGTTTCTATATGACCAATAAAAGGAACAGTCAACAAGTGAGAATAAAGTCAATAGTGAGGAGCTAAAAGGCAAGAGTTTTATCTGTCAAAGTGCTAAGGCCTATGTGCACAAAAATTTGAAAGTGAACAAGACCAACATAAGGTCTTTTTTTCCCATTCTGATTTCTCTTGCTGCTGGTGAAAGGTGTGATGCAGTGACTTACTGAACTGAGTTTTGAAAAAATAGGTCAAAGCACTTATGGCTACGAGAAAAGTTCTTAATTTCTAGTTTCATTTGTCATGTACTCCAGATCTTCCATGGGTTCTAGAGATTTTGTGAATTCTCAAAGAACATATTTGCTCTTTAATCAGTACTTTATTATCAGAGAATAAATTATATCCTTCCCAGTCTAGAACCCATCTCCTCATCTAACAAAGGGGTAGCAAATATGAGACTCGGGAAGAATCAAGATTGTTTGAAAACTTGATACGTAGATTCAGCTGGGCACTACTGAAGTCTCCAAACTGCTATTGCCTGAAAACCTAACATTGCTGACTTAATCTGCTTTTTAAAAGAATTAACCCAACACACATGAAGTTTTATATACCATATGCTCCACTGGAAGGACATAGGCTGTGTAAAATAAGTTCTAAAATACTTTTAGATATTCTGGTATGACTTAATTCATTATTTTCTTATTAGGATATTTGAATTTAAAATATTCAAAATGAAGATCCCTGACTAAACTTAATAAAACGAAGCACTGAGTCACCTGGGTCTAATAAGAGTGCTTATGAAGCCAAGTTCCATTTCACTTAGCAGATATAGGTAGATACACAACCCCAAATTCAAATTAACACAGCCCAACAGAAAACCACCCCTTGGTCCATAAATGTCTCAAGCCAAATTCTGTGTTATATTCATGGCAACTGAAAATCATGTTAAGTGAACTCAAAATCTTTTTAAAAAATTAAGCTGCTTTAAGTTCAGTTAAATCCACTTAAAATCACATTTGGTTTATCTCCCCCTGCAAAGTATCATTTATGTTTTCCAGTTAAGATGAAAATCAGGATGTTTTCCCTTTGGCTTTTTGGGTTTGAATGGAGTTAGGAGGGGGGGTTTGAAGTTACTGTTAGGAAAACCCACTATCTAGGCACAGCCCATCTCTATAGTAGATCAGGTTTCCTGTCCTTCCTTAGGAAGAACTGTGTAGGGATTCCCCTTTGTAGGTTAAGGCTGAAATCTACATAGAAGTATGGAGTATTTATTCCTTAGTCCATATGGTCTCTATGAAAAAAATCCAATCTTCCGTTGAAAGTTACCAAGTATTAGGAACATAGATTATATCCATCCTCCTAGTTCTTGGGCAGAATTGAGACTATGTGATACAGTGGAATACACCTAACAACTCTTTTAACTGGAACATAAATAGATAATTTGGCATACAGAAGTTGAGTTGCAAATCCAATAATCTGTGTTAAAGACAAGTGGTAAGTAAAATTCAAGTGTAAGCACTGAAAAAATGTAATTATTTATCCTTTGAAACCTTTTCTACCTCAAACTTTCTAGAATAAGAATTAGGATTTTAATTTTATACTAAAATTAAAAGGTATAGGGTCATGCTAAAGCCCTTTTTAATTCAAGTTCTGTGACTTGAAAGAAAAAAAAAGGTCAATTCTATAGTATTAAGATAGAAAACCAATAATATTAATGTATTTTTTCCATTCTTGGAGAAAACAGGAATGTAAATTCAAAATGAAGGGATTCAGTTCCTTCTCAACTGCAAGGTGAAAATCACATTTTTAATAAAAAATTTCCTTGAGTTTCTTTTGGATTTGAAACTGTGTTACTTGCCTAGCTGTTATCTTGAAAGGGTTAACTGAACTTAGTACTTGCCTGGGGTTATCTTAAAGCATTACATTTGGCCTGCCTCTCTCCAATTTAGATTTAATAGATTTCTTATATATTCCAATAACAGTTCTCAAAAAAGGTAAAAACTTTTTTTTTTTTTTTTTAATTTTTAAGTTGTAGATGGACAAAATACCTTTATTTTTATGTGGTGCTGAGGATTGAACCCAGCGCCTCACATGTGCTAGGCAAGTGCTCTACCACCAAGACACAACCCCAACCTCAAAAGTAAAATTTTAACCTGGCTCCTCACTTCCATGCTGCCTGGTTTTACTAGGGACAATACCTTTTTTTTTTCTTTGTGTTTCACTTAGTGCCTCAAATGCTTCTATTTTATAACTCATTCATGCTCTTTTAACATGTCTTGGAAGCATGTAGCACTGACTATTCCTTGAGTCCTGAACATGCTATATAGTTACTACTTTAGGAAAATATTTTTTTTCAATTTACCTAATATTGCTTACCTTATATAATCAGCACTTTAGTACCTAATCCAACAAATACTTGAGTTAGTAACATGATTTGCACACAAAAAGTGAGAAACATGCCATGAAACGACTTCTCAGAAACAGCAGATGTCAAGTAGTGCATAAAATGAACACAGGCTTCTAAGACTCTGAAGTAAATAAAGGGTAGCTGAAGCTGTCTTGTGTTCTGGTAATTGCTCTTTCTCTCTGAACTGCAGACCAACTATACCTTTAGGTTCCCTGAATATAAACTTTATTTCCCATGAGGTAGGTAACCTGTTTAAATAATGATAAATATATATTAGAAATGGAGAGTCAATCTTTGAAAAATGGTCATTATGGGCTAGTTTACACACATTTAAATATTTCTCCTTCATTCCTATTATATATGGAATTATGGAGGATGCTGATGTTCCCTGAGACTTATGAAATATTTCCTTTCGAAACAGTACATTTTCAGCTAAGCTATAGAATATTCTTCTCTTGGATGGCTGAACTATCTCCAATGTCTTTGGGTAATCCAGATATTTGAAATTTCAGTTTTTGAAAAATAACATTGTCTAAAAAATAACATTGTCTATTTAAGTATTGCTATGTATCTTTACTGTTACAAAGAAAAAAAATTTTCCCCCAGTGAAAACAAAATCAGAGCTGGGCAATTTTAGGGAGAATGAACTAGTGAATCATAATAAATGGTTTCATGGGTCATCAAGACACATTCTTGAAAATGTAACCTTTCCAACTTTTCTTTCTATGCATTACCCATTTAAAAGAACAGGCTACATATTTGCAAAGACCATCTATTTAGGTATCATTTTGTTCCCTCCCCATCACATCTAAAAATCAAGTATTTCATAACCACAAAATGAGTCCTCTTGGACAGCATTCTAGGTATGGGACTCAAGACATTTGACCTCTCCAGACATCTGGCTCAGTCATCTCCCTGTCATTCCTGACAGGAGAGAGTTCAACATTTCAAGAAGTGTCAGAATCTAATGCAAGCATAGCTATCTCTCTTCACAAGGTTCTCCTGGCTCTCTGAACTCTCCAGATCAGTGAAGCAGGCAGGACATGAGATACACTGGTTATGAAACTCACTTCTCAGAGAAGAACTGGGAAACAGGAAACAAGTTTTCTGTATCTTCAAGAGATTATTTCTTCACATACTCCTAGGGCCTGGAAGATGGTGACACTGACTGCCTGCTAGTGAACTATTAATCATTGTGAAGAAAGAAAAACTTTATATTCCTTACCAGTTTTTGTTTTAGAAGCAAACAATAGGTACATTAAAAAATGGACTGCCCTTTGTTTTCTTCCACTTTCTAGTAACATAAAGTTGTTAGGAAAACATGGAGATGGGGAGGAGAATTCAATATTTTTCTGTAAGTTCTGAAAGAAATGCACTATCCTAATCTATCACCAAATACCTCATTTCACACTCTTCCATAAGGTCTGTGGTAATCTTTTCTCATAATACTATAAGGCAATAACTGAGGGCCCCTCCCCATGCCACTCTCAGATAGATGTCAGACCTCAAGATTCACCAAAAACTCCAAGGTTTTCAATTTCACTTTTAATTATCTTTTGCTTAATAATAAAATGAAAAATAAGAATATATGAATACATACAATCTATATACATATATTTATTGCAAATACTTAAAATTCTTATGTAAAATGATTTTTCTATATTTGTGAAAAAATATGACTTATTAAATGGTGTTGACACCAACTTCTCTGTACATACCCTCAATTCCAATGTTAACAATTCCTTTAAAAAGGCAAAAGACACAAAAGTTTAGCATTTACCAAACCAGTCTGTACAAACCTTATAAGCCAGTGGGGAAAAAATAGCTTGTGGAAAGTTAAGTGAATTTTCTTTTAAAATAAAAATAAACCCCAAAACTATTCCCCTTATTGCATTTTTTTTTTAAAATAATCTGAGTGTCTTCGGAGTAACTTCCTTTGAAATAATTTGTGCCTTAAACAGTGAGGTCCTACATTAAACATACCATATATAAGAAATTCAGTCTTCCACTGTCACTTTTTACATAGATATTAAAATATATATTACTTAAAATATATTACTGGAAAGCTATTTTTAAAATTGATCTTTAATATTTGTATCAAATGTAAAGCATTAAAAAAAATAAAGTAACCAAGACTCTATGAAGCTATTGCTTCAACTTTAGGAAATGTCTTACTACCTACTGTTTTCTTTCAATAGGTTGTAGGTATTGAAACATGTAGGAAGGTCCCTGCCTAGCATCATGTTTCTCAGTCTCTTTGGACTATTCTATAAATTGAGCTGAAAACTACTCTTAGCCAAGTTTTTCACTTAGCACACTGTTGTAATGTAGTGGGGAGATTTTCCCTCCTTGCTATGATATCAAAGAAAAAATACCCCTGTTTATTGACAGTGAATTTCAGAAATAAATAGCAGTATAATGACCAACCCCATTAAAACAAATCTTTTAATCAAAGGGTTCTTTAAGGATCTCTAAGGTAAAGGAAGGCAATAATAAACAATTAGGCTAATGACTGGCAGGTCATTAATATGAATGACATTGCACCTTCACCTGGAAGGCAACAAGCTCTTCTTTTGGCTATTTAAATCTGAGATAAGTTCTGAACCACCTATATCCGTGTGCCTTCCCAACTAATGTAAGCATGCTTCCCTCTAACCCAGAAAAATTCCCCATTACTGGCCAGCTCTTACTCTTTAAATTAAAATGTTACATAGATTAGCACAGACAGCTTCAGTATCTTGAGCACAGGGGTTAAGAAACTGAAGCAGGGGAAACAACTCCAGGTTATTTGGCTTTATTTTCCATTTAGTAGGATAAAGAATTTTTATTAATCAAAAATCTCTTTTAAGATTCAGGGAACATTCTACTAGACAACTTAGAACATTTAAAAATCAGACTGAGATGACCTGCAGTGGAGGCTACCTAAAGGCTAGAGGGCATAAGGGAGGCAAGTGCTCAGGCTTGTCTTACTAGTCGTGGGAGCTGTGCCACCTGATATCCTAAGAAGAGCTTAGCACTTATTAAAACATTTCAGAAATAATCTAAAGGTAAAACCAATCAAAAGCTAAGATAAACACTGATTTAAAGGTACTGGAGTACCAAATTCTAATATTGAAAGGGCCAGACTGTAATGCATTTTTTCTGTTCAGCTTATAAAACAAATGGCTTTCTCCTTGAAACCACTGTTTGAAACAATAAACTGATTCATATTTAATTTACTACCAATATAAGAGAATCTTGACTCTCATCTGGTTGAGTCTGAGGCAATGTATCTTGCTGGCAATTTGTTTTTGACGCATTCTTAAATGCAAACATTTAGCTGGGTATTATTATTTAGAATCTGGAGGATAGCAATGCTTAGAACTTATCTGCCCAGGAGCCTGGGTCAAGGGGAAGAAGCAGGATGTGAATTCCTCTCTAAATGGACCTGAAAATCCCTGTTGCCTTCTTCCTGTCCTGGTTATAGTCCATCCATTCTTAGATTAAAGGTATCATGAAAGAAAAAGTTTCTGGCAACAAAGGAGCAGAGCAGAAAAGTTGTCTTCATCAATTCAAACTGGTAACTGATATTTAGTGCAAGGTCAATTCTGAAAAAACTCCAGCACTCAGTGCTGCTAACAAGGTGAGGAAGTGAACAGGCTGGAACCAGCGACAGGTCTTTCTAAATCTACTAGGATTAATCAAAGTTACTCAAAGTCTGGGAGCAGAACCCTGGTTTGTTTCCTACTAGTTTTTCACACGAGAATTTCTTATCCCTGGATCCCTTAGACCCTTTCTTTTTAGACCTTAGACCCTTTTAGTTATGTGTGTGCTAGAAGAAAAGGAGAAAAGGGAGAGATGAAAGGACATCAAATGGTCTTGTCTGAAAGTGCAACACAAATATTAATCCTATATTGGTCTTGGGCTTCAACAAAAGAACCAGAAAAGAAGAATGAAAATAGCTTCCTAAGTTAATTTTAAGAGATTTTGATGCAGGGAATGGAGTGGGCAGGAGCAGGTAGCAGAACGGGCAAAAGAGATAATTGCCTCCTTTTTCCTAATCTGGAATGTAACTTATTTAATAGGTTTAAATTATTCTGAATTTTGTAAGTATCACATCTTGAGTATTAAGTACAAATACAACTGTACTAGGTTGCACTAATATTTTTACTTTACACACTTCTAATTAGGAGACTTGAAATCGATATGCAAATAATACAAATCGATAATCTCCTATTTCATGCCAAATTCTGGTAAACTAAATTTTTTTTTTAATGTTCTTTAACCATGACATAAATTGTACATACTTAAAACTTTTCGGTCACTAGAAAAGGATTCAAACCACAACAAAAAGAAAAGAAAAAACAAAACTTGGAGCTGTTTTTCTTCCTTTCCAGACATTCCTTAGCCATTCACCAAAGCCCCTTTATATTAAGCATCCTTAGAGCACAGATAGCAATAATTCCAAATTAGGGGACAAAAATAAGAAAATGTCTTGTATTGTGTGTGCACATGTGGTGTTTAAGATTTAATAAAATCACTCCAACCTCCTTATATGCTTGGGAGGTAAAACAGGTTGCACAGAAGGAGCCAATGTGCCACTGAAGAGCTTTTCTAGCTGTGACAACAGCTGACTATATAACATTAGATTAAGGGCTGGAAGAGGAAGAGAGGCTACCTTGTTTCTAGTGTGAAAATAATTTTCCTTTATGTTTAGTTTAACAGTTTCTGCAATTTCATTCTCTTGTCCAACAAGACAGTTTAAATCACCCCATCACTAACACTTGCCTGCTTTCATCTTACGCTAGTATTTCAAACAGGTTTGTGGGCTCCCACGAATGACAAAGTATTATTGCTGGAACTGCTAGATCGATTGCCATGAAGAGACTACAGTCATACAGTGGGGCCCACAGAGGCACTCCCTTCACAGACCACAATCACTGTCTCAGGCCACGAGGGTGGGATTAGGGAACAGCAGGTCTCTACTTCATGACAGTACTGGTTCACAGAAGTCAAGAACCAAGCCAGGGCTTTCAGGGTTGGAAACACTGCCTGTGATGGAAAGAAGACTTCTACTTCATAAGGTCCCATTCTAAAGTATAGGGGCTGTATAAATCCTGAATTCAAATTGTGCAAAGGCCAAATAACCTATATAGATAATCTGCAACCATAATGTGAAGACATCATCAGTGTGAATAATCATTGGGTTTAGACCACTCTTTCCATTTCCTATTCTTAGGAAAGGTCAAAAGAGAGATAGCTTCCTTTTACCATGCATGACAATCAACTTTTCTCAGTCACATAAAATGGAACATAAATCTGAATTTAAAGTAATACATTATTACCTAAACACTTGGAAAAATGTTAAACAAATGTGACATATTTACATGATTTATAAGTGCAAACTTGTCACAAATTCACAAAAGTCTTGCTTGACTTAGACTTACTATACAAGGTGCTCTTCCTCTAGAATGTAAATGACCTGTACTCTCTATTCCTGATTAATATTTTTCTTAAGAAGACAGATGAAACCTTATTTCTGTGATTCCAAATAATGCAAAAACACATCTTGTTAACCCTTTCTTTCCCCCTTCTTTACAGTGCATTATCTTTAAGTCTCATTACCGAACCACAAGGCAGGAGACACACAGTTTAGAGGGGCCGATGCAATCATCATGGCAGAAAGCTCCACACCCTTTGCACATGATCATGGCTTTCAAGCGGCAGTAACATTTTGAAGGCGTGTCCTCAATGCTATTTTCTTCAGGAAAGGCTGGAACAGGCATTGTCTGGCCATGGCTGCTGGGATTTATAGCTTGGCTAGCAGGGATGGTAGTGACCGTCACTGAAAAGGACATGACATCACCTACATTGCTAGATACCTGGCTACCTGGTACAGCAGAGTTATGGTCCATATCGGATGAGGTAGAGACATTAATCATGCCTCTGTAACTTGTCCCTATCTGTGTGGGGCTTCCATACAATTTTGGAGTTTGCAGTGATGAAAGGAGCAAAGGCTGATGGGTGGGACTGTCTGCAGGCAGAGAAAGAGCAGTAGAATTGAACAGCTCAGGGCTGCTACGTATTGTCTTACCTCTTACTGCATGAGCCATTTGTTTCTGTGCTGCCTGAATAAAATCTCTGGCTAGGGTCTTCTCATCAAATGTTTGGCCTCTAGCAAATAGGTAATTCTCCTTGCTTACAGTGGCTTGCTCATTCACTGGTTTCTCAGCCTTCACAATCTTGTTAGCTAAGCAATCATTGTTGGATGGGGTTTCCCTACTATGGGGTCCTGAACTTGTGTCATGCTTGCCAGAACTCTGGGAAGCCTGGGGCTCCTCCTTTACCAAGACAGATTCCTGTTCATCGCCAGTACTCTCCTCATCAGTTTCATCTTCTTTGCTGCTGCTACTATCTCCTGTTGTATTTTTACAATCTGTATACCCCATTCTCAAGGCTTCAGTGGGGCTACTAAGACAAAAGCGGTCTTCAGGATGTATAGAATGGGTCCTCCTAAAGCTCTCTGAACCCCTGCCATAGGTGGAAATATTAAGTAAGTAGTGACCTGCCATTGCAGGTTTGGATGTCCTTCTGCCAGCAAATCCCAGCATGAACCTCTGGCTTGTGGAGATGTCTTCTAACTGGAAACCTGAGTGAGCGAAGTTAAACTGTGAAGGCGGCACAAATGAGAGAATGTTCTGCCTCCGAACCCTCTGGATAAGAGTTTGAAGGATCTGATCTTGAGTTGTTTTACTTAGTCCTTCTTGGTACTGGTGTGTGTCGATGCTAGAGTCCCTTAAATCCTTAGTTGAAAAGAGTTGCAGGGGCCTTGGAACCTGGGGAAGCTGCTTACTCTGCACGGTTTTCCCCAGCTGCTGGATAGCTGGATGGGACTGTCTGTCATTAACTTCTTCTCTGGTGCTATTTTCTGTTATGTTGGTGCCTGTGAGTGCTCCCATCCCTTTATCCTCTTTAGTTGTCAGTGGTACAGTTTTCATTTCAACTTTGGTGAGAGGTTTAGGCAGAATTTGCTCCATGGGAACATCTTTGCCTTGGAGCAGCTGAGTAACTAAAGGATTATTAGCTGGGATACTAGAGCTTGGTCTTGAAATGGGCCCATTCACACTTGCAGAAGTTCCTGGGGTTTTAAGGCTAGAAGCTGCTGACAAAATGTTCGAGGACAAAGCTGACCCAACAGATGCTACAGGTGCACTGACCTGGGGTACAGGAAGCTTTTCTAAAGTGGCTGTTGTCAATAATGATGTTAAAGGGGTAGGGGATGTATCCACTACTGCACTAGCAGTTGTCTTGGCTGAGACTGAAGGATTTGGTGTGTTCATATTAGAATCTGCTTTGGATTCAACTGTGCCATCAGCTACAATAGAAATGGGCAAAGCTCCTGAGATCAGAGCAGAGCCTGCTGGAGAAGAAGAGGCTCTCTCCTGTCTGTAACTACTAGGCCCTTGTGGGTGGCTAGGGGAAGCCACTGTGACTGATGCCCTGGCAGGGTTCAGTTTTTCACTGTTCAATTTCTCTATGTGAGCTGGTGATGGGACACTTGTGCATGCTCCACTGATGGCAGATGCTGGAGGCACTGAGGGGGTTTGCTGTAGTTGTGCTCCAGAGACACTATGAGGCTGTGCCTGGCCTGGGGTCTTGGTCTCAGATTGGGGCTGAGTCTCTGGACCACAGGGTAAAAGCTCTCGCGTACCTCCCCTGCTTCCAGTTCCTGCCAGTTCCAGTGTGGGGCCCTTTCCAGTTGCACTGACTCCATCTGAGCCTGGACTCCCTCCTCTAGCAGTTTTTCTTTCACTACCCTCTCCTGGACCTTGTCCACCCCCAGGGCCAGGTCCTGGAATGGTCCCTCCAACTGAGGCGGCTGCAGCGGCGGCTGCGGCAGCTGCAGCTGCTGCCCTCTGTGCTTTGACCAGCTGGGCTTTTGCTTTGATGTCTGCAAGAGTTCTGGCTCCTGTTCTGTTAGGACTAGTGATGGAGATTGGAAAACGAGCCCTGGGAGAGACCTGCGATGTAGGAAACGGCATGGGGGAGATTCTGGAGACTGGGATCTGAAAGAAATAGGGGAGGAAAAAAAACACAACAAGGCTTAGTTTTCTTACATTTTTAGAGCAGGTAAACAACACCCATAAAAACATGGGACATCTAGGACTGAGCAATTCAAGTTTGCTTCTAGGTGCCTTCTACTCTGCCCACTCATAAGGGAGTAGGTGCACGTTTGCGAGTCATTCTCATGCCTGGCTGGTATTATTTGTGCTTTGGGTCCTAATCCCAAAATTTACAAATTAGAACCTCTAGAGAAAAAAAATTTGTTTCTAAAAAGCTGCTTGTGCTAATGACTATCAGATTTGAAATCACTAATTTTCATATCATAAAAGAATCTGGGGCTGGGATTGTGGCTCAGTGGCAGAGTGCTTGCCTCACACGTATGAGGCACTGGGTTCGATCCTCAGCACAATATAAAAATAAATAAATAAAATAAAGACATTGTGTCCACCTACAACTAAGAAAATAAATTAAAAAAAAAAAAAAAGAATCGGACTCCTGTCCTACACAGTATTTTGCAGTGCATCACAAAATGTGGACACTTCTAATAGATGACTGAGTTTAAAGGAGCAAATAATTCTAAGTCATGTTCTAGAGCACCTTGTTTAAAAAAAAAAAAAGAGCCTTTAATTTCCAAAAAACACATTTTTTCTGGAAATCCTTAAGAGGTCACTGAAGACTTCTATTAATTTCTCAAGTCAGCAGTTCTGAAAAATTGATTATTAACTCAGAAGTTAGAGCTGTGGGATTTCATAACAGTGTCAAAATTTCACATATTTTACATCATATATTATAGTTAAAACTGAATTTTATATCCTACAAGTGTTTCTACATTAAGAAATACCGTTTATTACTTGAAATTTAGTAAGAATATCAAAAACCTATTGTTTAGGCCATCTCTCCTTTCCAATTCTCTCTGTTCTCCTACCTTGAGAGGTGGTACTTTGCGCACCTGGCCCCTGTCTCCTCTATTGAGAAAGGGCTGTGGCGAGACCTGAAATGGCTGTTGGCGATTCTCAGTGACACGTGGCCTTTTCTCCCAGCTTCCAGGGACCTCTTCTTGAGTCAGAGAAGATTTTCTCTTTAGGCTTTCTGGGCTCTGATCAACAAGAGTTGTGGGAGGTTCTTTGCTGCTGGTCTCCTGGGGTCCTGCTTCTGCTGTGGACTTCATTATTGGTTTTTCCAGCCCAGGACTCTTGGGTTTGGTTAGGGATGTAACTACAGCTTCTTGGCTTTCACTTTTATTATAATTAAAAACTGTGGTATGATAATTCTCTTTCTCAGATTCCTGTGCAGCAGAGGCAGTTGGTTTCTGCTCCAAGGGATCCTCATCCTTTGGGCACTTGATGGGAAAAATGCCAGTAAGCTCATTTGCACTGGTAGCTGAGGCAAGAAGGGGCTCTGTGAATTTGACATTTGGCTGTGCCTCATCTTGGCTTTCCTGTTCTTCTTTTTTGACTGGTGAAGGCATTTGTACTGCTTCTTCTTTACACTCTGACTGGGAAATGCCTGGGAGTATTTTGACAGGAGAGGCCTCTGAAGGAAGCATAGATTTTGGTTGCTCAGCTGTGGTTTTCTTTACTTTGGGATCACTGGGGGAAGCTGTCAATTTCTTTGAATCTTCAAGGCTCAACCCAGAACTAAACGGTGAAATAAGAAAATATTTTAATTGTGAGATAGCACATGTTACTGAAGCATTATGAGAAAATGGAACAGGACAAATGTTTAGAAAAACCCCTCACACATAGTAGCTAATTTTCATGTATTATCTTCATTATTCTTTTTTGTTTTGGGGTGTACCAGGGATTAAACTCAGGGGCACTCAACCACTGAGCCACATCCCCAGCCCTATTTTGTATTTTATTTAGACACAGTTTTTTTTTTTTTTTAAATTTTTTAAAGAGAATTTTAATATTTATTTTTTAGTTTTTCGGCGGACACAACATCTTTGTTTGTATGTGGTGCTGAGGATCGAACCCGGGCCGCACGCATGCCAGGCGAGCGCGCTACCGCTTGAGCCACATCCCCAGCCCTAGACACAGGTTTTCACTGAGCTGCTTAGCACTTTGCTTTTTACTAAGGTTGGCTTTGAACTTGTGATCCTCCTGCCTCAGCCTACTGGGCTGCTAGGATTACAGGTGTGCACCATGATGCCTTGCTTATCTTCACTATTATTAATAATAGTGAATGTTCTTGAGCCAGAGTGCCCAGTTCAAATCTTGGCTCCGATACCAGATGTCCATGTGATATTCAGTAAATAGACTAGCCTTCTGCACCTCAGTTTCTTCAATTGTATATTGGGGTTAATGACTTCATAATGTTGCTATGATGATTATTTCATTGGAAGTACTTAAAACTCAATACTAGTGGTTATCATTATTATTACTTCTGCTTATGGGGGGGTCATACTGTCTAGAGATATGTATTACAGATTAACTATGAGGACCTTAAAGAAAGCCAAGAACCCTGACCCTGGGACTTGGTTTGGACTGTGACTAATTTTGTTCTGCAGTATTTGTAGAAAGGCTGGCCCAAGAAATCTAAGGGAATCCAGAGGAAACTATAGGAAACTGGTTATTGATATTCTCCAGAAGCTGAGAATTACAACTGAATTTTCAAAAAGTCTATTCAAATCTTCCTTGGTCTAGCTCTAAAATTTTGAGAGTGTGCTGCTACATTGTTCTATGGTGTAACTGGGAGTTCCACAGTGTGGCCTGGCTAAAAAGCTAAGCTAATCTTTAAGGGTCATTAATGATTCTTCTTAATATTTTATAATATTATATAACAGTCAAAAATCAATGAAATCCTCTCTGGTGACTTCAAGTCAGTACAACACATGAGAGAGTATAGCCAACGGCAAAACTAGGCAGTTATCAAAAACAGTCCTACTGGGCTGGGGATATAGCTCACGACACAACATTTGCCTAGTAATCGTTAAGGCCTGGGTTTGATCTACAGTACCACACACACACAAATCCCAAATAACCCCCCCAAAAACTGTCCTATAACAGCTGGCAAAAAGTAATAAGTGAAAATGTATTCAATTGCTGTAATGTGTTATATATGCCTAACAAGGAGGAAGCAAATAAATATTAACAGAATTACTGTTACCTATAATATGGTCCAAATATATACACCATCATTTACATAGCTCAAAACTCATATCAATAATGTAGGGGGGGTGCTGGGGATATGGCTTAGTTGGTAGAGTGTTTGCCAGGCATGCACAAAGCCCTGGGTTCAATCCCCAACATCACAAAAAAAGAATTAGGTGTTTCTGAGTGGTATGTTTGCATATCATATGCATTTAGGCTTTGATTTAATCTGGGGGAAAAAATAGCAAAGAACACAGAAAAAATGAGAGTTTGAGACACTTAATCTCAAAAAGAATATACCCTAAAGAACTGTGAAGGGGATCAATGAACACTACCTGGAGATTAAAAAAAAAAAAAACAAAAACAAATAGCAACCTGGGTGTTCAATCCTATTTCAAACAAAGACACTCCATTATTATATATTTAAATATCTTCATCAAGATTTTATTTAGCTGTCATGTATAACTAATTAAAACAAATAAAAAATGATTTCACTTAGATTTTTATTGGAAAAAAACTATTTGACCACAGTTCTTTGAAAATAAGGATGTATGCTGGGTGTGATGACACAAGCCTATCATCCCAGCTACTCAGGAGGCTGAGGCAGAAAGACTGTAAGTTTAAGTTCACTTAGCAAGATACTGCCTCAAAAAACAAACAAACAAACAAAAAATCAAAACAAAGAAAGAACCCACCTATAGGAAACTGGTTATTGATGTTCATATTTTCCAAGGAATGGATACTAATTCAAGATGATTAAAAAACAAAAACAGCAGCTCGAGAGGCTGAGACAGGAGGGTCGTGAGTTCAAAGTCAGCCTCAGCAACGGTGAGGCACTAAGCAACTCAGTGAGACCCTGTCTCTAAATAAAATACAAAAATAGAGCTGAGATGTGGCTCAGTGATCAAGTGCTGCTGAGTTCAATCCCTGGTAGAGAAAACAAAAACAAATACAAAAAACAGCTTCTTGGTAAAGAATTGTTGAAATAAAACTTGAAGGAAAAATTTCTGCTCAGGTAAAGCATTATATAACATATGTGCAGGAATTACCATATGGTTTACAGAATTTGGCTTATTAATTATTACCTCTGACCATAGTAGCTTTCAAAGAATTGTTCCTTCCATGGTTCCACTTTTTTCTCCTTCTCAATCTCTTGTCGAATTCTCACCTGCATCTCAGGTGTAAACTCACCTGTAATGTAACAAAAAAAAAAAAAAAAAAAAAAAAAGATACTAAATAGAAAAATGCCCTTTTGCAACTTTTGACTATTTATAAATCAAGAAAAACTCATACGGAAATCAGAGTACTATTATGTGAAAGTAACAGAAACTTCCCCAAATACCTCACTGTAAGGTAGACTTAAATATCACTAGATGAAATAAAAACATGTTTATATACAACTCCATGTAGTTTTCAATACACAGCTGAGGACGACAGTGCCTTTTCTCTGGACTTCCCCCCAGTAGTATCTCCCTCCTACATGAAACATCATATTCATCATATTCCATACAAATTTCTTTAGTCTCTAATCTTGAATTTCTTATTTTCTTTTTTTTTAAATATTTTTTTATTTCTTATGTGTAGATGGACACAACATAATGCCTTTACTTGTATGTGGTGCTGAGGATTGAACCTGGGTCCCACCAGTGCTAGGATAGTGCTCTATTGCTAAGCCACAATCCTAGCCCCTCTAATTTATTTTCTACCAGAAAAAGAATGATATGTTTCTCTAAGGAAAATTTTATCTTAGGTCTTTTACCTCTAACTACATAATGAAAAGTGATGGTTTGCTTAAAGGCATTTGCGATTCCAATTAAGAAATCATTCCAAGTAGGAAATTATTATGGAGTTGTTAGTTATCTAATTGTTTCAGAAACCAGCAATCTAATGCCCTAGCAACAGGATACTCAACATGCCCCAAACTGAGCTATTCTGAATATGCCTTTTATTTGCATATACTACCAACCACCTCAATCCTTCCCACTCCTTCAGCAGAGAACAGTAAATGTGTTTGGTAGGCCATCTTCAAACTTATGGCTCAGAGAGGCTGTACCCTTTCATGCTCTAATACCCAGGACCATCAGAGAGTAAGAGATAGAAATGTAAGAATTTGAAGTTTAAGATCTCCTGAGAGTAAGAAGGAAAGGAAAAGTATTAGAGGACCACATACATCACAGTCATGAGTAAATAAACAGAAAAAGAGAAATTTAGCTTACAGAATCTGTTCTAGAACTTGTGGTATTGGTTCTACTATGTATCATAGAATGAGGGATAAAGAGTATTGATCTCTGTTCATAAATGTACAGTGTTCAAAGTTTTGGTTACTCATAAAATATGATCATATGACAACAAACAATCATTTGCTTGGATGTAAAAAAAAAAAAAGAATACGGATAACTATTGAGGTATCATTGTTGATAGTACCTATTTATCCTTAACTAATTTATTGTTTAAAAAAAGTATTGGCAATTGACATGTTTTAAAGTGCTTATGTTTTCAATTTCTTCAGAAAAAGGAAATCTGAAGATAAGAGAAAGGACGAAAGCAATCAGCAAGAAATTCTTTCTAAAAAAGGATGGGAGGGGGTAGGAGTATCATTCAGTAGGAGAGCATAAAACCTATGACATGCATGAGGTCCTCAGTTCAACCCAGAGCACAAGAGAGGGGTAGGGAGGAGGGGAGACACTAACAATCACAGTGACCAATAACAGATATCTATTACCTAATCATTTTAACTGTTGAGATGTGACAAAAACTAAGCAGCGAACAGCATTCCTAATGCTCTCCTTACAAATGTATTTACTTTAAAGGTCTCACACTTGTTTTAAGCTGTTCTTTGGCATAATATAACTCTCAAGTATAATTTTGTATTCCAGGTATACCAAAGTACAGATGTAATACCCAGCGGTTTTAATTATTGTTGAATATTAGCCTCACATGGGAAAACCTTAAACAACAATAACAACAAAAACCCACATACTAACCCTCGGGTACTAACCTAGAGTAATTAAAATCACTCAGGGAGGTACCTGGACATCAATGTTTATAAAAACTTAAGAGGTGTTTTGAGCATTCAGGGTTAAGAATTTCTAATGCTGACAAATACTATATACAGTGCTTGCAAAATCAATCAATCAGTAACTTTTTTATACTCAATTATTTGCCCTCAATAAATCTGTTAAATCAGGATTAGAAGCATGGTACACAAGGCACTAGTGACCATGGTCAGTAATTCTCAGTCATGGTCCATATTTATTAAAATGTACTGACACCACTTAACTGTATGCTTCAAGTAAGTGAATTTTACAGTATGTACATATATCTCAATAATACATTTTTAAATGTTCTGATTCCTTTTCTGTTGGTTCCATTGGGGCTGCCAATAACAAAGAAGTTATCCTAGGAAAGGAAAAGTATTAGATTAATAATTAATAATTAGTATTAATTATTTTATGGTGCTGTGATGCCCAGCACTATAAAATAATTGTACACTTTGCTTATTATTAGTAAGCTTAGAATTTCAATTCCCAGGCACTAATGTAGAATTACTGAATCAAAATCTTTAGTAACAGGGCCTGCAAATCCATTTTTTAAGTTTCTAAGATGACTTTAAATCACTGAAGAAACACACTTGCTGGACTCTATGTGGAGTGTACTTGGTTATAGAGGCTCCAGATACAAAATTTAGTAATATGTTTCATACAGGATAGCTAATTCTATCTTTTAGAAACTTCCTGTCTCTTATCTTCCAAAATGGTTAAATACCCCACAAGGCGGAAAAGTGCCAATATACCATCACTGTTGTTCCAAGTGCAGATTCTGAGCAACCAGAGGCAGAACACTTACCTTCTGATAGTCTTTCCTTCCAGCCTTGGGCTGCTGAAGTGAAGAACTCATTATTAAGGGCTGAGCCATTCAACTTCATCAAACCATCTGGACCAACCTGGTTCAAAGAATAAGCCAGGGAAAGCTTACAAACAAAGGGAAAGGTGTTTGTATGGTATTTGGCTTTCATTTTAGAAAAGAATGTATGTTCATTTAATTATACAGAGGTGCACTAGCTATCTCCTATCAAGCTGCTTATTATGGATGTCTTTTTTAATTAATTATTTATTTATTTATTTTCATATTGAGACAGGATATTGCTAAATTGCTGAGGCTGACATTGAACTTGTAATCCTCCTGCATCAGCTGCTGGAGTTGCTGAGATTACAGGCATGCACCACTGTGCCTAGCTTTTTTTATTCACTTGGTACCAAAGATTGAACCCAGGGACACTCAACCACTGAACCACAAATCTGGCCCTTTTGTATTTTGGTACAGGGTCTCATGAAATTGCTTAAGGCCTTGCTAAGTTGATGAGGCTGGCCTTGAACTTAGAATCCTCCTGCCTCAGCCTCCTGAGTTGGTAGGATTACAGGCATACATCACTACTCCTGGTTGATGTCTATATATATTTTTAAATTTACACACACACACACACACACACTCATGTATTTTTTTAGTTGTCAATGGACCTTTATTTTATTCATTTATTTACATTTAATGCTGAGAATTGAACCCAGTGCCTCACACATGCTAGTCAAGTGCTGTACCAGTACCACTGAGCCACAACCTCAGCCCTGATGTGTGTGTGTCTCTCTATATGTGTATAAATGTAAATATATATTTTATATGTATGTATTATTTTTTGGTACTAGGGATTGAACTCAGGGGCACTCAACCACTGAGCCACATCCCCAGCTCTATTTTGTATTTTATTTAGAGACGGGGTCTCACTAAGTCGCTTAGTGCCTCCCTTTTGCTGAGGCTGGCTTTGAACTCACAATCCTCCTTCCTCAGTCTCGTGAGCTGCTGGAATTACAGGTGTGTGCCACTGTACCTGGCTTGTCGATATTTTTAATGTAATATTTTGTTCTTAAAAAATTCCTTTGCAGGGCTGGGGTTGAGGCTCTGCAGTAGCGTACTTGCCTGGCGTATGTGAGGCACTGGGTTTGATTCTCAGGACCACATATAAATAAAAAAAAATTTCCTTTCCAAACAGGTTTGGTGGCACATGTCTGTAATCCCAGCAACTGGGGAGGCTGAGGCAGGAGGATCAAAAGCTCAAGGTCAGTCTCAGTGACTTGGTGAGACATTTTATTATCTCAGAATAAAACATAAAAAGGGTTGAGGATGTAGCTCAGTGGTACAGCCTTGGGTCTCAATCCCCCCTACAGGAAAGTAACATCAAAACAAGCTCTTCCCATTTACTTTTCCTCTTCCTCTCCTTTTAACTCCATTCTTTAATGATTAAAAAAAAAAAAAAAAACAACTGAAAAGGGTTTATTATTTGTTTTACAGAAGTGGTTCCAAGATATGTACACAGTTTATGTTTCTCACAGATTAAACCACTGAAGTCTCTTCAAGTCATCTGGCCTAGATTTTTTGCGGGGGAAGGTATAGGGGATTGAACGCAGCAGCACTCAGCCACTGAGCCACATTTGCAGGCTTTTTAAATATTTTATTTAGAGACAGGGTCTCACTGAATTGCTTATAGCATTGCTAAATTGCTGGGGCTGGATTTGAACTCGCAATCTTCCTGCCTCAGCCTCGCAAGCCACTGAGATAGATTATAGGCATGAGGCACCACACCCAGCTCATTTGGCCTAGTTTTTACCTTCTTTAAAATGGCTACATATTATTTTTGTTATATGAATATAACTCAATTTACCAGTTTCCAAATGACATATACTTTTTTCCCCTAACATTTCCCCATAATCAAGAAAGCTGCAACTAGTATTCTTATAGAGATGTATACTAGTGCTTTTATTTCTGTACGTTCCTAGAATAAAGAATATTAGCGTGGGGCTGGGGATATAGCTCAGTTGGTAGAGTGCTTGCCTAGCATGCATAAGGCCCTGGGTTCAATCCCCCCACCCCCCCACCCAAAAAAAACCCACACACAATGTATCGGGCTGAGGTTATAGCTCAGTGGTAGAGCATTTGCCTAGCACGTGGAAGGCATTGGGTTCAATCCTCAGTACCACATAAAAATAAATAAAGTTATTGTGTTCATCTACAACTAAAAAATAAAAAAAGAACATTAGCGTGTGTATAACTAGATATGTGAGATTACCTTTCAAAAAGACTCAAACAACAGACATTTCTACCAGCAGTATATGAAATACTCCTTTCCTCGGCAACAATTTTTTCACGCTATTGAATTTCTGAAATGGTAAAAAAATTCTGTTGACTGCTGTTGTGATTGTGCACCTTATTAAATGTGTATTCAATATTTAAATTTGCAATCTTGTGAAGGGTCAATTCCTATCACTTTCTCATTTTTCCAGTAGGTTGCTCATCTTTATCATCAGTTTGTAAGAACCCTTTGCATATTATATACGGTAATGACTATAATCACATGTTAAAAATATTTTCTTCAAACTCACTGTCTACTGAATTGATTTGTGATGCTTTCCCAAAAGGTCTAAAAAAAATTTTTTTTGGACAGGGGATGTAGCTTAGTAGTAGAACACTTGCCTGGCATGCATAAAATTCTAGGTTCAATCCTCTGTACTGCAAAAAATTTAAAAAATAAAAAATTTTCTGAATATTAGAAATATTGAATTTCCTACCTTGGTTAAAACCCATAACATCTAAATTATACAAAGCACAGATCTAAAAAACCTGGATAAAAAAATAAAATTGTCATTCTCCCTAAAGTTAATTTTTATAATTTTATCAGAATCCCTACATAGATTTCTAATGAATTGAATGAAATTATCTTAATGCTCATATAGGAAAAAAGACAGTAAGAAAAACTGGGAGAGGGAAATTGCTTTATGATTATTAAACACACTACACAAAGTCACTGCATCAAAACTCTTATTACTGCCAGGTGCTGTGGTGCATGCCTATAATCCCAGCGGCGTGGGAGGCGGAGGCAGGAGAATTATGTAAACCCAGCCTCAGCAAAAGCGAGGCGCTAAGCAACTAACTCAGTCAGACCCTATCTCTAAATAAAATGCAAAATAGGGCTGGGGATGTGGTTCAATGGTCAAGTGCCCCTGAGTTCAATCCCCAGTACCTCCCATGCCCCCCACAAAAACCCCAAGCTCTATTACTACTGGTATTAGAATAAACAAAGAAAAAAATGGAAGAGGATAGAGTACTTTAAGTATAAGCTACATACATATTAATGGAATGCAAAACATTAATGTTATTTCAAATAGTGAGAAAAAGGATCGTACAAATATACAGATAGGTAGTGCATCCAGAAGAAAAGAAAGTTGGACCCTAAATTCAGATAATAGGAAAAAACAAGCAAACAACAACAACAAGAAAAACAACTAGATGGTTTAAAATTCTGAAGAAAATTTAGAAAGTGATCTGGCAACCTTAAGAATTGAGGATCACTTCATAACTCACTTTACTTTTCAAACCTGTCTGGGCCAATGTATTTTCCCTTGGCTCTATAGCAGAAATTGAAAACTTGTTATAAAGGGCTAACCTGCAAATGCATTAGACTTTATAGGATATAGTTTCTGGTGCAACTAACTACTCAACTCTCCCTAATACAAAAGTGACAATAATTAACAGGAGTAGCTGTAGGCCAATGAGACCGCTGAAAATTTGGTAGGGTTATAGACTTTTTCCTATAATACATTATCCAATCTCCATTTGAATATACCAGTGATGAGCAAATTACTCCACTGTCAGTTAACCTACTCCATAGGTTAACTCTCTAAATTTTTAAGTTGTTATTTTAACCCCAAATCTGCTTTCAGAAGAAAGCTTATATCTTCCATATGGTAAACACTGAATTATATCAGAAAATATAACCCAACCCTCTGATGTAAATAATAGTTTTCTGCTGTTCTTTACTGAAGATTCCATATACTATAGTTTCCAATTTGTAATCTTAATAATCAGAATTCTGTATAAACACTTCAAATTTCATTTTAGAGTAAAGTTGTAATTTTACTTAATTATAACTGCATACTCCACACATGAGGATAACACTGCTCAGATTACAGTGTACTCCCACCATAACAATAACTATAAAAAGACTGGCCAAATAGCCTTCCAATTAAGATTACCCTATGTGGGAAATTTAACTAGAAACCTCTAAGGTTCCTTTTACTAAAATTATATGTGGCAATCTCCATCTGAGGGCCATGTGTCAGATAGAACTGAGTTCCAAAAATAGACCATCAGTTAAGGTCCTATACTATTATTCTAAGTTTAATAACCCTGAGTTTAAAACAAAAACAAAAACAAAAAGGAAAAACTCTCAATGAGGTTCTTTAAAAACACTGATGAGTGGGGCACAGTAGTGCACACCTGTAATCCCAGTGACTTGAGAGGCTGAGGTATGCTGATTTAAAGTTTAAGGCCAATCAGGGCAATACAATGAGACTCTGTCTCAAAATAAAAAAATTAAAGGAAGCCAGTTGTGGAGGCACACATCTATGATCCCAGCAACTAGGAAGCTAAAGCTGGAGGATTTCAAGTCTGAGGCAAACCTCAGCAACAAAGTGAGGTCCTGTGCCAAAATACAAAATAAAAGGGGCTGGGGAGATTTAGCGCAGAGGGAAAGCACCCCAGTTAAATCCCCAGCACCACAAAAAAATAGATTATAAAAATGAAATGAAATAAAACAAAAGAAGGGATGGGGGTCTGGGGTTGTAGCTCAGTGACAGAGTGCTTGCCTAGCATGTGTGAGGCACTGGGTTCGATCCTCAGCCACATCACATAAAAATAAATAAATAAAATAAAAGTATTCAGTTCATATACACCAACAACAAAAAGAAGGGCTGGGGAACATAGTTCAGTAGTAGAGCTCACCTGGGTTTAAATCCTAGTACCCTCCTTCCCCCCAAATAATTTCTTTTTTTTTCTTTCTTTCTTTCTTTTCTTTTTTTTTTCCCTTGGTACCAGAGATTGAACCCAGGGGAACTCAACCACTGAGCCACATTCCCACCTATTTTGTATTTTATTTAGAGACAGGGTCTCACTGAGTTGCTTAGCATCTTGCAGCTGCTAAGGCTGGCTTTGAACTCTGGATCCTACTATCTCAGCTTTCCATGCTTCTCGGATTATAGGCGCCTGGCCCAAATCAATTCTTCAAGAAGAGTTAAGGGAGAGAAAGTAATACCTTGGAAGTATATGGTGTATGTCACTTGGAAATTGGTAAATTAACTGGAGAATATTCATAAGATGAAATAATATGCAGCCATTTATAAAGAAGGTAAAACTAGGTCAAATGGCTTGAAGAGACCTCAATGGTATTGTCCATGGTGATAAAAATAAGTTGCATAGTAGTGAACATGTCCTGTCACTACTGCTGGAAGAATACCTGATTTATCTGGATTCTCTAGACAATAAACTTTGAACTGTTCTGACACATGCTGATTCTCAGCATTAAAAAATTGGTATCAACGTCATCCAGAAAACAAGTCCAGAATTAGCAAGTTTTAGTTTTGACTTTATATTAGCTATAATGATTTGCGTGGCTTACTTATGCTGTTAATCTTTCTAAAAACTAGGGAATATATCCAACTAGTCCTTTACTGTAAAGTAAAGAATAACACTTTCCTCTCTTCTTGTTTTCATAATGATTTAAGGAAGGAGGAAGAAAACCATTATCATTTAGAACATAGCTGAAATCTCATAAGTGAAAAAAATTAGAAAATCAAAATGGTGCCTGGCAGGGTGGTGTACACTATAGTCCTAGCAATTTGGAAGGCTGAAGCAGTAGGAGCACAAGTTCAAGGTCAGCCTCAGCAACTTAGTGAGACCCTGTCTCTAAAATAACAACAAAAAAAAGGCTGTTGTTTGTTTTTTTCACAAAGAGGGAAACAAAGATCAGAATAAGAGTGAATTACTAGTCATCACTTTTTCCTTGATAAAAGCTGAAGTCTCACCTTCATCTTATACCTGGATTATGCTAAATCTCTTTGGTCCTTGCCTTTCCAATTAAACCTTTTACTTTTGGTACTTTTTTTCAAAGTACAACTTATACTGGAGTTTTAATTCTTTATTATAAAAGCAATAAATGTTTCTTTTAAAAGAATTTAATAAAACAATAAAAATAATGAATATTCCTAATTCCACCACTATTATTCCATGTGCTATGTCCTTTTAGATGTATGTAATTTATCTGAATCCATTATTTTGGCTTATTGTTGGCAGTTCCCACTTCACTGAGGCACTGACCTACATCCTGCTGATACTGGACCAAGACAAGTCTTCATCCTGAACTTAATTCTATGGATGCCAACAACTTAATAGGAAAGCTACTCAAATTTATTCTATAATTTGACATTCTAGTAATAAAGTTCTGATCCCCATCATAAGTGTTATAAAGCCCTCCTATTAAGACATATAAATAAAAATATTTTTGCTAGGAACATGATGCATGCCTGTAATCCCAGGGACACAGGAGAATCAAAGTTCAAGGTCAGCCTGGATAACTTGGTGAGATCCTGTCTCAAAATAAAAAATAGAAAGGGCTGAGGATGTAGTTCAGTGACGAGTTTTCCTGGGTTCAACTGCCAATACACAAATATGTATGTGTGTATATATACTGTATTTGTGTATATATATCCCTAAATACACACGCATACATATATATATCTGTGACAGTTCCCACTTCACTGAGGCACTGACTTACATCCTGCTAATACTAAACCAAGACAAGTCTTCCTCCCAAACTGGATTCTAGTTCCCACTTCACTGAGGCACTGACTTACATCCTGCTAATACTAAACCAAGACAAATCTTCCTCCCAAACTGGATTCTATGGATGCCAACAATTTAAAAGGAAAGTTACTCAAATTTATTTTATAATTTGACGTACGTGTGTGTGTGTGTGTGTGTGTGTGTAAGAGAGAGAGAGAGAGAGACAGACACTACTTTTTAAAAAATATTTCTGCAGTAATGGGGATTGGACCTAGGATTTCATACATGTTAGGCAAATGCTCTACCACTTAATACCACTTCTTTACATGTATACATAAAAAGAAAATTTAAAAATGTTAAGCTCAAAAGGTGATGAAAGAAACCCCATAAGGGTAATAAAGTTGCTTATATGGTTGGAATGACGCACCTGTCGATCCACCTCTGGAAGTAGTAAAAGCAGTCGCTGTTGGCAATCTCCAGGAAGGACTGAAAAAGTGTGTTTGTTGATCAGTGCTCGAAGATTTGTGTTAACTAGAATGGAGTCTGGTGTCTCAACATCAATATCAGCACATTTAGTTCTTTTCATTTGCCCTAAAAAAAAAAAAAAGGAAAAAAAATCATTTGAAATTCCCTTAAAGTTGTGTTTATACCTAAAATATAGTTTGCTGGACAGTGTAAAAAACCACAGTTAAATAGTACACAATGAAGAAAGTAAAACTTAAGGCTCTTAGAAGATAAATGAATATAATTTATCTTTTCTGCAAAAAGAGAATAAAGTCTATAAAAGTAGATTTTTCACCATATTAAAAGAAAATTATCTCCTCCTCTCCCTAAAAAGCTGAGGAAGTTTTTTGTTTTGTGTGTGTGTTTGTTTTTTGGTATTCGGGATTGAACTCAGGGACACTCAACCACTGAGCGACATCCCCAGCCCTATTTTGTATTTTATTTAGAGATAGAGTCTCACTGAGTTGCTTAGTGAGACTCTGCTTTTGCTGAGGCTGGCTTTGAACTCGAATTTCTCTTGCTTGAACATCCCAAGCTGCTGGGATTACAGGGATGTACCTGTGCCCAGCAAAGCTGAGGAAATTTATGATATGATAAATGAGAGTAGAGTCTATTTTGACAAATTAATACAAACATGGAATACATCATATTCTAGTTAGGATCCCAGTCTTGTGGTTGTACATGCTGTGGAGATTCATTGTGGTGTATTCATATATGTACATAGGAAAGTTATGTCAGAATCATTACACTGTCTTTCCTATTTCTGTCTCCCCTCCCTTCCCTTCATTCCCCTTTAATCTACTGAATTTCTATTCTGCCCCTCCCTTTTTGTGTGTTAGCATCCACATAACAGAGAGAACATTCCACCTTTGGTTTTTTGGGACTGGCTTATTTCACTTAGCATAATAGTCTCCAGATTCATCCATTTACTGGTAAAAGTCATTCTTTTTTATGGCTGAGTAATAATGTTTAATTATACTCTACTGTGATGTGTAACTATAAAGAACAAAAAAATTGCTAAAAATTAAAAAATAATAAATGACACATATAAAGAATGTCTTTAAAAAACAGAAACCCAGAATGGGGCTTTGCCTAGCCTGAACCATGTCCTGGGTTCAATTCCCAGTACTGATACCTTTTCCCTCTTCTCATGAGAATTATTCTTCACTGATTGAATTTGCATAGCTAAAAATGTGATTGAAAGCTTAGCAGATGTAAAATATCTGTTTACAACCAAAAGCTTACAGTCTTTCAAAAAATGGACAGTATACAAAAGGTTAAAGTGTAAATGAAAAATATATGTAAATAAAAGACTAAGTTTGTTGAGCTGGAGCTATAGCTCATGGGTTGAGTGCTTGCCTAGCATGTGTGAAGCAATGGGTTCAAATCTCAGCACCACATAAAAAAAGTAAATAAACAAAATAAAGGTATTGTGTCCATCTAAAACTAAAAATTTTTTTAAAAAGTTGGAAAAAACATCTACAAATCATGATAAAAATTTACTATTCTTAGTATAAAATGTGCCCTTACAAATCAATGAGGAAAAAAAACAAATACCACCAAGAGAAAAATGGGTAAAGGAAATTGACAGGCAATTAATTCACATACTTCCCTCACCAAAAGCAGATGCTAAAATTTTAATATTTAAAGAAATGCAAGTTAAACAAATAAATAAAAATTTTTCAAATATATTAAAATGGCAAATACTGCAATATAGTGATGGGAATATGCAGGGAAAAATAAACAAACATTTTCAAATACTACTGGTGGAGCTAAAATTTATAACATTGTATTACAGAACAAAATATTAACAGTATCTAACAAATTTTTAAAGTACATGAGACTCTGGGAACCAAAAATTCTAAATTTAGAATAACATGAACAAAGTCACACTATCTTTGATGTGGCACCTACTCAGGGACACTCAACCACTGAGCGACATCCCCAGCCCTATTTTGTATTTTATTTAGAGAGTCTCACTGAGTTGCTTAGTGAGACCCTGCTTTTTCTGAGGCTGGCTTTGAACTCGAATTTCTGACTGAAGCACAAGAAAAGTCAATCTGCAAAAGAGGAGAGGATTTCCCTTGAATTAAGCCCACAGGATTCCTATAAATTAAAATCCCAAAACTGGGCTTGGTGGCACATGCCTATAATCTTAGGAGGATGACAAGTTCAAAGCTAGCCTCAGCACCTTAGCAAGGCCCTCAGCAAATTAGTGAGATATGTCTCAAAATAAAAAATAAAAAGGGTTGGGGATGTAGCTCAGTTGTAAAATACCCTATGTTTAATCACCAGCATAAAATCAATCAATCAATCCATCCATTCACCCAGCACTATATCACAAAAATACACAACAAATCAGAAGTTATATCACTACAACCAAAGTCATTAGAAATCAGAAATAATGACTTAGATCTAGAAGTACTAAAGTTATTGAATATGTAGAATACAGAACAGCTATGCATGAAATGTTTAAAGAAACAGAGAATATAATTACAAAGACAAAGATAATACAGTCAGGGAGAGACTTTTAAAAAGTGAGACTTTAAGAAATGTTATGATATAAATTTTTAAAATCAGATACTATGAATGAATAAAACAGCAATTTGGGCAATATTAAAAAAGGATTAATAACCTAGAATATAGAGCCAAATAATTTATCCCGAGTATGAGAAATAGAAAACATATTTTGAGAGGCTTAACAAAAACGAAAGAAAGCATGAGAACATCTAATATGTTGACTGGAGACCAAGAATTAGAAAATGGAAAAAAAGGTGATATTTAAGAACTGACAACTGTACATTTATCAGAACTAATGAAAACCCACAGATCTTTTAAAGGGCTGGGGATTTAACTCAGTGTTAGAGCACCCCTGGGTTCAATTACCAATATCAAATAAATAAATAAAAATGCAATTGAGTGGATTTTTGTATATTCAGAATTGTACAATTCTCACCACTATCTAATTATAGAACATTTTCATCACTCCAAAAAGAAACCCCAGACCCATTAGCAGTCACTCATTCTATGTAGCCTTCCCAGTCCTAGTAAACTAATCCACCTTCTGTCTCTATGGATATGCCTATTCCAGATGTGGAACTGTATGATATGTGGTCTTTGACTGCTGTCTTTCACTTGGCAAAGTGTTTTCTTCAAGTTTTGTCCATGTCCTACCATGTATCGGTACTTTGTTCCTTTTTTACCAATGAGTAATATAGCATTCTATGGGCATGCCATATTTTGTTTGTCCATTCATCAGTTGATGTGTATTTGGGTTATTTCTGCTTTGCGTATTTATTTTTGTTGTCCTGGGGACTGAACGCAGGCACGCTCTATCACCGAACGACATTCCCGACCCTATTTATTTACTTAAGACATGGTCTCACTAAGTTGCCCAGGCTGGCCTCAAACTTGCTAGGTCTCCTGCATCAGCCTCCCAAGTCACTGGGATTACAGGTATGCACCACTGTGCCAAACTTACTTTGGGACTATTAGAAATAATGCTGCTATGATCATTTGTGTACATGTTTTTTGGGGGAGGGGGAGGGCTAGGGATTGAACTCTCAGGGGCACTCAACCACTAAGCCCTATTTTGTATTTTGTTTGGAGACAGGGTCTCACTGAGTTGCTTAGTATCTCACCGTTGCTGAGGCTGGCTTTGAACCCACCATCCTCCTGTCTCAGCTTCCTGAGCTGCTGGGATCATAGGCGTGTGGCACGGCGCCCGACTACATGTTTTCAGTTCTTTGGAGTATATGCTTAGTAGTGGAAGTTCTAGATTATGTGTTTAACTTTTTTTTTTTTTTGGTATTGGGATTGAACCCAAGAGTGCTAAACCACTGAGCTACCTCCCCAGCCCTTTTTAAATTTGAGACACATCCTCACTAAGTTGCTTAGGGCCTTGCTAAATTGCTGAGGCTGGCCTCAAATTTTTGCTCCTCCCACATCACTGGGATTATTTGTGCTACTGCACCCAGCACATGTTTTAACTTTTTGAGAAACTACCAAACTGTTAAATTTCCACCAACACATGTTATTGTCTCTTTTTAAATTATAGTCATCCTCATGGCATCTCATGTGGTTTTGATTTACATTTTGCTAGTGACTAATGATGTTGAACTTCTTTTCATGTGCTCATCATATATTTGTGTGTGTGTGTTTTGGTGGTGTACTAGGACTTGAACCCAGGGCCTCCAACATGCTAGGCAAGTGTTCTACCCACCAAGCCACACCCCAGCCCTCACCTAGCAAGTGTGCGGCCCAGGTTCGATCCTCAGCGCCACATACAAATAAAGACGTTGTGTCCGCCGAAAACTAAAAAAAAAAATATTAAAATTCTCTCTCTTTCTCTCTTAAAAAAAAAAAAAAAGACAAAGGAGTCAGGTGCAGTACCACATGCCTGTAATGACTAGGGAAACTAAGGCTGGAAGATCTCAAGTTCAAGGCCACCTCTGGAAACTTGGAGAGACCCTGTCTCAAAATAAGAAATAGAAAGAGCTGGGGATGTAGCTCAGTGGTAGAGTATTTCTGGGTTCAATTCCCAGTACAAAAAAAGAAAAGTACAAGAAGGGTCTGGGATTATAGTTCCACGGTAGAGTGCTTGCTAGTATGTGCAAGGCCCTGGTTTGAGCCACACCACCAGAAGAGGAAGAAGAAGAAGAAGAAGAAGAAAATCCTTGCAAGCATCCTTAAGGAAGGGAAAGATTTCATAAAAAGGAAAAACAAAGTGGCAGTAAACTTCTTCACAACAAAGGAATTAAGAACAAATAGATAGGATGTATAAAATGCTGAAAGAACTAGGAATCCTGGAATGCCCACCAAACTATCCTTCAAAAATGAATGTGGAATAAAGGCATTTATAAAGATAAACAAAAGGAGAGGACATTTAATATCAAGGTACCCACACTAAATAAAGTTCTTAAAAATTTATACTTTAGGAGAGAAAATTGTAGAAGGATGGGTTGGAATACAATGGAGAAAGGTTAAGCATGTAGGGGCTGTGGTAGAACGCTTACCTATCATGTGTGAGTCACTGGGTTCAATCCTCAGCACCACATAAAATAAATAAATAAAGCATGTAGAAAAAT